GCAGTGGCCTGTACAGAACGCAGCCTTTCTATTGGCGTGACGTCCCCTCGAGGCCCATCCTCGCCGAGTGTGTGGGCAGTTTGTCCCCCGGTTCCAGAGCGGCGGTCCGTGCCCCCGGGGACCACGCCTGGGGTCCCCGCTCCCCCGCTGAAGGACATCCGGGCCGTTTCCAGTGTTCTGCTGTTGGCAGTGAGACGCTGTGCGCTTCTGCGTGTGGGCTTTGTGGGAACCGAGCTTTTACCTTTCCGAGATAGATAACCCAGAGTGCACTCACTGGCTGTTGCATGGTGATTGCAGGTTTAGTTTTACAAGAACTTGTCGGAATACTTCTCAGAGCGGCTGTGCCATTTACCAGTAGCACTTTTAAAATAGTTATACGTATATGTGTTTTTTCAATTCTAGTAATATTAGTATACATTGGAAAGAATAATGCACATTTATAAAATAAATATATGAACATTTATTCAACTCTAGACAGCGCTTGATGTCCTGATGGACTTAAAATAAGCTCGGTAGCCATGGCGCAGTAGGAAGGGCCCCGTGTCCCCTCCTGTGTGTCCCCATGTGGCCCGTCACCACGCGTGTGGAGATCTTGGCAACGCCGGCTGGGTGCCCTGCAGTTCCCTTCAATTCTGGCCGGAACCAGGCCTAGCACAGACCCCGCAGGTCAGGTGTTCAGTCCCACAGACGGCACCACCCCCTCCTTCACATGCCAGTCGCAAGTACTGGGTCCCCAGCTGACCCACGACATCTGTCCATCTTGACTGCAAACAGGAGGCTCCCGCGACGTCCCTGGATCCGCGCATTGTCTGGAGCAGCTCGCAGAGCTCAGGGCAGCACTTACTTCTGCTCCCCGGTTTGTTAAGGGTGTGATAGAGGGCACGGGTGCACGCGGCGAGGTCTGGGGGGCCCCCCGTGGAGCTGGGCTGCGTCACCTGTCAGGGTGGACGTACTCGCCCACCTGGACGCCCCACACCCCGTGCTGCTGGGGTCTCGTGGAGGCCCCCTGATGCAGGCAGGATGGACCGTTGACTCCATTCCCAGCCCTCTGTCCTCTCTGGAGGAGCTGTGGGCAGGGGGCTGCCAATTCCAGCTTCTCGTCACGGCCTGGTCTTCCTGGTGACGGCCGCCGTCCGGGAAGCACCCTGGAGTCGCCTCATTAGAACAGGAGAGTGCCCTGGCGCTCTTGTCACGGCGTTTACAGGGCTGGGGGCCCCTGTCAGGAACCAGGGGCGGAGACCTATTAAATATTTCTTCTGTTATCTCTGAGAATCTGTGAGATTAGAAACTAGTAGGCTGAGTATTTTATTAAAAATAATAAGATTGTTTTCCCATTATAAAAATATATGTAAAAGATATATTTCTCATATGCTGAGTGACAAAAATTTGGAAAATAAGGAAAAGTAGCAAGAAAAAGAGGAAGGAACAACCAGAGTCAAAAGCATCTTTTAATAGCTTACATTTTACATTTAGAAAAACACCACTGGGCGAATTTCTGAAACCTGGTGGGGGCATAGTTGTGGCCAGGGGGACACGGAAACTGAGACCCAGGGAGCCCTGGATGTGGCGCCCAGACCGCCTGTGGGGACGCCCTGTGCTGTGGGTGCTCCGTGCCGGGCCTGGAGACCTCGCTGTCTGGACGCGTCTGCGGGGGCTGCAGACGCATGGCAGGGGGGCTCGTTGGCCCCTCCTTTCTCCTCGTGGTCCAGACCCCCCCTTACAGGTGCTCACGCCCTCTGCTGGCTCTGATGACAGGATGACATCATTGATGATGTGGACGGCTTCCTCGCAGCCGCAGAGACCCTGAAAGAGAGGGGCGCCTACAAGATCTTCGTGATGGCCACACACGGCCTGCTGTCCTCTGACGCCCCCCGGCTGATTGAGGAGTCTGCCATCGACGAGGTAACTGGGCCCGGGGCGGGGCGCAGCTGCCTGGAGCCTGCTGTCACGAGGGGCACGCCGTTGTGCGGTTGAGAGTGGTGTCAGGTGTGTGCTGTGCGTGCGTTTCGTGGGCTGTCAGTCTGTCTTGTGCCCACGGCAGCACGGACAGCTGTGGTAGCTCCCGGAGCAGGGCGCCTGGTCCCCGCCGCACCGCCCGGTGCCGGGCACAAGCCCCTGCGCCCCGGCACAGCCCTGCGGAGACTTCCCTGTGGGACGGCCTCGGGCCGAGCCTGCAGGGGCAGCCCTCGGCGCTCGGCGAGAGGCGGCCCCGGCCCCCGTCCCCTCCGGGTCGTCGA